AATCAATCCAGTCACCACTGTTACGTCACGAGATCACGTGACGTGTCTAACAAAATCGCAAACTTAAGCAATGCTGTATGTCCATAATCGTTGGTCCTAGCTGACCGCATTGTTGACAAGATTGTTAGGTTCGCGATTTCGCAAATAGCGATAAACAATTTGTTACAAAATGTTACAAATCCATGATAAAATTTTTGAAAATGTTTTGATTTTTTTTTAAGGACAAGCACTACAGGAAAATCCTGTAGCGAGTCACATTGGATTCGAATCGCTGGACATTAAATCCATTCGGAAAAACGTTCTCAGAAAGTTTATTCCACATAATACCAATGCTCTTGAACAAAAAAGTTTGCAATTATAAGTAGGAGATCACATAAGTGCAGTTTTATACAGTATGTAATAATACCGTATTGATTGGTTCAAAAAAAATTACAAATGAATAGTTATAATTGTATCGGAAAAATACGAACCGCCCCTATTACTTTGTATATTAGACCACCCTGTATATATCTACAGTCGATTAGACTGCAGGGTGATCGGGGCATATTACACATTGACGTGGAGCATGTCGAATCTCAAAAATCACAAAATGAAATGATTTAAGAAGCACTGATACTAGAGCCACTTCGATAACAGTGTTTCATATAGATACAATATATTCAGAATAGAAATGGAAATACGTAATCCTATATCCAAAAATACCTCTTCCGAGGGTTGTTTGCAAAAATCTGAAATGAAACTGAACACGAGTATGTATCCATCTCAATCAAAAATTGTGTATCTTTAAAAGCGACAAATTCAACGTATCAAAATAACATATACCTGATAATAATATCAATTGAGATCTACCTACCCAATCATGAAGATGTTGAAGGTATAAAAACCCGCGCTGACAAAATAAAACAATCCTGGTTTTGTATTTATAGTGTTATTGAAAATATATGTGTATAAGGGGGAAGCGAATAATCCCACAATGAACTCACAAATCATCATTATGGAAAATATTTTTCCAACTTCTTCCCTCTCCACTAACTTTGATATAAGGGTTCGTATCATCGGACTCGTCACTCCATTGATACTTTTAGCGAAAGCACCTATAATAAAACAAATATGAACAATTATAAACAGTAACAAAAGGAAAATGAACTGTTAAAACCACCAGATACAGTGGATTTGTTGTTTTGTAAAAAATAAGTTTCAGTGTAGAAATGTATTCCTTTTTTAAATCGTGTCATCTTAGCTTTTTCCACAATACTAGAATTTGATAATATTGTTTTATACTGATTTCAGTTTATGTCGAGTTTACCATCTTAGGTATTTGTTTTACTCTAACCTAACAGAACGTATTTCGTCATGAATTCTACCAGGGGTCTTCAACTACTACAAAATGGCGGACCTTTGAATAATTATCTGAATACATTGACATTTAACTACATACTACGAGGTAATAAGCTTGAGGTCACAACAGAAGATGCTCGAAATGGTTGCCTTGAACTTCTTTACATATGAACAGCCTTTCCAATATTTCACGCCGAACATTTTCGAACACAGTAACGTCAATATCTCTACTAATATTTATTATTCTCTGCCATATATCCAATACTGAAGCAGGTTCAGTTTCGAACACCCTTTGCTTCAAATAGCCCCATTAAAAAAGTTCAAAGGTGTCAAATATGGCGAGCGGGCTTGCAATTCTAAAGGACTTCGACGGCCAATCCAACGACCGGAAAAAGTAGTATCCAAATAGTTTCTTACTTGTCTGGAGTAATGTGGTGGTGCTCCATCTCGTTGAAATACAATATCCATATCGAATTCATTAGAATTTGCTTCGACGATTTAAGTGATGAGAGGGTCAACAGTAGTTTCCAGCATATTCAAATACAGTTCCCCTGTTAAATTTTGATCAATAAATAGACGTCTTACAATATGGTTTCCCAATATTCCTGCCTAAACATTATGTGTTTCCCGGAAAACGTGAGGGTTAGTGTCACTCCAATAACGGCAATTTTGTCTGTGAATATTGCCGTTTGAAAAAATGTACATTCGTCACTAAAACAAACATTGTGGAGATAGGTAGGATGCTTTGCAATGGTTTCCGTCATGATTTCGCAAAATTCTGTTATTCGATCAGGGTCATCTTCAGTTAATTAGTGTACCATTTTAATTTTGTATGTATGATACCTATTCCTCTTCAAAAATCTCCACCTCACAAACATTGGCGACGGAATAAGTAGACTGTTCAGGATTTACTACCATCTCACCAATTATTTGCACTTGCTATTCTTCCGGAATGGACGGATGACCTGGAGGCTTTTTGTTATATCCACTACCGGTTGTTGTAAATTTGGATACAAGTTCCCTCAAATATGTTCTACTGATAACAGTCACTATTGGTCTCAAGAAAATCCCCACTGGGTCCGCGAAAGTAATTTTCAAACTACTTGGATCCTTCAACAAACCAGATATTGCCTGTCACATAAAATGTGGGACACCCGGTATACTCTTTCTTGTACTATTGTTTCCGTATTCTGTACTCAGGTTTATCAACTTTGAGGTCAGTAGCTTTTTCATTATGCATGATTATTATGGGTTAGATCAAATGATAAGAGTCGGTTCTCTGGTGAAACTATGAAGAGATGAATCGATCCCTCTACCTGATATCTTGGAGGACTCCGATTTTCCAGTTTTACTAGTTTCATAGAATCGAAATAGTCACCAGTAGTAATGTTTCTGTTTGACCCCTTTATTGTGTAATACCTAGCAAAGGCTACGTATTCTAGTGTTACCGCAACTAAAGACCTCCTCTTCGTGCGGGAGGCCGAATTCAAGCTTGAGTCATAGTCAGGTAGCGGTTCGAAAGTATCGGCCAAGCTACATATTACAATCGGCTCTATGAGAAACACGACACTTTGATAAGTTTGTCAGTTTTTTTCCAGCATGTTTCAGTGCAACACCCCATCAATGCAGTTCGCTTATGACAATTTCTTACTGAACACAAAAGATATAGTTCCTGCAGGGTTTCCTCCTCTGAGCTCTGGTTGCGGCATCATCAAAACAAAAAAAGAAAATAATCTGATGACGCATCAAAAAATTTCTCGTTGTGCTATCCGTGGAGAAAATAGCATTCAAATCTTCATGACTCAACGACCTGAGACGAGAATGTTTATGTTTCTATAATGCGGTAAGGATTCTCTTCCAACATTGGAGCGAACCCCACAAAATTTTACGTTCATTCTTATGATTATTTTGCTCAAAATTTTGTCGGTAATGAGCAAGACACCGAGTAAATAACAAAATATGTTATTGGCTTTTTTGTGAAGACTGGCCAGGGTGTTCAGATATTCATTCGAATCTGTATTTTTTCAAATGATTCTGGAGCTTCAACCATTTAGATGAATTTGTGAGAGTGACATCCTCATCACTATATTTCTTTTCGTTTCTGCAGGAATCAACAATGTGATCAAACTCGTCTGGGACCATTATTTTGCATTCCGTCCAGTCCTGTAAGTTCAGGTAGTCAATATGTATCGATTACCTTTCGTGAAAAGGCATTATAATCAACGTAAAAAAAATGGAAAGTAATTCCCTAAAATTAACCCTGTCAGTTCTGTATAGGCAAGAAAATGAGCCGAAATGTAATTTCACTCAGATCACTTTGACTCGTTCTGTTAGGTCGAGGATATCAATCTCTAAAATTGTATTTGACGTTCAAAAAATTCACCAGTCTTAAGGCGAAATAAAATTGACACAGATTCATTATTTACCGAAATATCAAAATTGAAAAGTTGTGGAGTGAAATCAGGTGCAGATCTAAGGGGGTCAATATAACTCCAGAATGACTCAAAAAAGGCCCAGAAGTCTACAGAAACATATTATAGAATGAAAAACATGAACAAAACTCGAAATGAAGAGAGGTTCCAAAGTCAAAACGTTAATTAGTATGGCTACGTTCAATTTGTTGGTAGCATTTTTTCAATAGTTAGTTGGCCACCCTGTACAGTTTGTTCCCCTTAGAACGGCGTGTTGAATCTGTGCCTGAGTCAAGTTCAGAAGAATATTTCATACTTACCAATATAAATATGAATGGATTCAGTAGCTAGGCCATCCACCACACATCCAGTCAGACGTGACAAGGTTCCGATGAGAATTAATATAGATTCTCTAACCTTCATCCACTTATGTAAAATACCGATCACAACCAGGATGGTGAAGATCCCTATCACAGTACTGACACTACTGTATATGTTGAACATTGTCAATGTCCAATGTAATTTTTCCCTGAGGTAAGGAAACATGAGTGAACCTTCACCGGAGAAGGAAAAAACCATCACTGCAGATATTATTGCCATCATTAATATTTTTGGTGTTTTGAAATTTCCTCGAGTTTTGATGGCGACTTTTATCATTTCCTTCAAATTTTCTGTTTGGACTAACCCCTTAAGTTTTCCCTGAAATAAATAGTTCATGGAATATCTTCAATGGTTTTTTTTCAAGGCAGAAAATGAATAGAAACTTCAATACAAAAAAAAGGTCATGTTGAAAGAAAAGGTGAATTTCGGAATATACTCGTAAATTACAATGACATATATTTCTGAAAACAACAAAATGTACTATTTCTGGATAAATGAAATTGAAGAAAATATATAGATGAGGATTATTTCGAAAATATTGATGAGCAAATTATTTCATGAAAATCAACGCGTTCCCCTAATTGTCTAGGTCTTTTTTCAAATGTTTCAAAAATTATATATTTCTCAGCAATTCAAGACATCATTTAGCACTCACTCATTCTTCTCTGTTTCTCCGTACTGGCACCTTATTGAAGTAAACACAAGTAAGTTCACTCTCTGCCATATTTGGGTCAAGATTCCCCACCTCGAATTTTATGCGCGACCGAACTACAGCACAACAGACTGAATCTAAGGCGTTTACCAAGCGAGCCAAATTGAGCTAAATTATTACAGAGTGAATCGTTGTAAGTGGTGGTTTTGTATTTGTGAAAAATGTGTGTCTAGTTTCAAAATGAGCAGGTGTCGAGCTGTGGGTTGCTGTAATTTGCATGGTGAAGTCGACATTCATTTTTTTCGATTTCCAATTGACGAAAAAAGGTATGTTTTTCTATTATTTACAGGGTGTAACTAAATAAGTGTGGAACATTTAAGGAAGTGATTCCTCATCGAAAAAAAAGAAAGAAGACAACCATATGGAAGGGCATTTCAGGCTCTAAAAATAAGATTTGAAAGAACTGGTAATGTCAATCACGAGAAGTTCGAATGTTTCTGCCCTGTAACAAATAAAGAGAATGCATTTCAAATTGTTCTTCACCTTGTTGAAAATCCCCATGTGAGTATCCGAGACCTGAGCAGAATATTAGGATTTTCTCAAACCAGCGTGTCTCGAATGAAAGAGGAAGGATGGGGCTTAGAAAGATCAATCAGAAAAATGATTTTCTCGATTTCGTGTTATTTTATGATGAAGAGACTTTTCATAAAAATGGAACTGTGAATCGGCATGCATAGTTATGCGACGGAAAACCCCCATTTTGTTCGTTGCCTTAACCATCAACAGCATTGGTCACTGAATGTTTGGAGTAGAATTCTCGGAAAAAGAGTTATCGGTCTGTATTTTTTTGGTGGGCATCTCACTGGTAGAAAATATGTGAAATTTCTTTGGCATGCGTTTTCGAATTTATTGGATGGGGTTCCACATGAAACAAGACTTAGGATGTGACTACAACAAGACGGTGCACCACCACAATTTGAAACTGAAGTACGGGAATACCTCAAAGATCATTTCAATCAAAAATGAATAGGTAGGGATGGGTCTATTTCGTGGCCACCCAGATCCCCTGATCTGACTAAAATGGATTTTTTATGGGGGTATATTGAATGGATTGTCTACCAAACTCCCCCAACATCTATAGAAGGCATGAAACGATGAATCACTAGAGCTTTCAGGGAAATCCCGGAGGATATGCTGGAACGTGTAGAGAATTCTCTAAAAAAAAACTGACATTATGCGTTGCAGAAAATGGTCGCCCTATTGAACATATTTTGTAGTCTTCTATTCAAAAAACATTAGGTGTTATTCTTCATATTGAAAAAATTTTGAGTAAGTGAAAGTAAATGAATGAATTTTTTGTGGTCACTGTGAATGAAACGAATGCTAGGCAAATACTGCTTTATTTTACTTCTTCCAGAATATTTAAAGTACATTCATTTCGAATAAATATACCGGGTGATCCTCTACATCTTCCCCTTTTTCAAAATTATACATCAATAATAATTTACAACAAATCAACATATACTATTGTGAAACTAAAACTAAACCAAATGGTGTGGCCAACACTGAGTAGGGATATAAATCACTTCATAGGTAATTGTTCTACTGGAAATCTCAAATGAAAGAACCATTATGTCCACATGAAGTACCATCACAGCCATGGGAAAAATTAGGGTGGGAATTTTTTGAAGTGGACAACAAGCAATATTTGATTGTCATAGACTATTTTTCAAAATACGTAGAATTGATTTGCCTAAACACAAATACAACTGCTGTAAATGTAATAATGCATTTGAAGTGCGTTTTTGCTCGTCACGGCATACCAAAAACATTATTTTCTAATAATGGTCCACAATTTTCCTCTGAATTATTCAAGTCATTTGCTAAGCCGTGGGAATTTGACCACCAAACGCGCTGTGCAAACTTTTAAAAAACATTCGTAGGAAAAGTAGAGATGATCAAAAAGATACGTATTTGGCCCTGTTACAGTATAGAAATACTCTTTCAAATGAAATTGGTTCACCAGCACAATTTTTAATGTCGAGAAGATCAAGAGGAATAATTCTTATGGAAGATAGTATGTTGAAACCAAGTTTGAAAAACATAGAACAAACTAGAAAAAAATTAAATAACCGTCAGNTTCGGTATTATAAATGATATTATAAGGAATAAAAAGTTTAGGTTAAGAATGAACGAAATCTAGACGTTTAAAAACGACGAAAACCAATACACGAAAAACTTTGGCCTTGTCTTATTTTTTATCAATTCCTAAACAGTTCACAATCATATGAGACATTTATTGGCAGCTCCTCGTACCAATGATGAAGTCAGATCATGGTCACATATTTTTTGATCGAACCTCGTGTAGAGGTGCACAACAGCTCTTAGCCTACACCCTCCTGCCCCGCTACATGCCAGCAAAAAATGTCTCTCGACCCGAAACATCACCGGGAGTGAATTTACTTCTGTTTACTTATATACGGTGGTACTGGTAAGTCCTAGGAGCTTTTCTGGATGTTGAGTGTGAGCTTCTCGAAAAATATGAGGATTTGTAAAGCTCCAAATTCTACAGTTATGCCCGTTAACCTCTCCAATAAGTAAAAAACTGCATTCGTCAGAAAAGCAAACGTTGTACTAGAAATTTGGGTTATTGTTGATACGCTCGGACATAATTTCGCAAAACTCGTGCCTTCGATCCCAATCATCATCATTTAATTCATGAATTAATTTAGTTTTGTACGGATGGAACTTGTGTTTATGTAAAATTCTGAAAACGTTACATTGACTAATACCGGAAGCTGCAGAAAGTTTTCGTACAGATTGCGTGTCCAACTTATGCCAAAGTTGGACATGTCCCAATACCGCCACAGCTGCTCCTTCATCATTCACAATTCCAATAGGTGCCCTTTTTTATCCATTAGATACTGAACCCGTCTCCACAAATTTTGAAATCAATTCCAGTAAGTACTTATGGCGAATGCTACGTTCAGGATGGTTTTGGTTAAATATCCTTGTAGCCGCTCAGGCACAATTTTGTTTTTGGTAATAAAGGCTAACCAGCTCAACACGTTCTTGCAATGTGTACACCATATTTTTTGAAATTTTAAACAAATCAGCAAAGTAGTAACTCAAAAGATTGATTTCAATTCTGAAATGATCGAAAAAACGCTACAACCAGATAAGCACCTTCTGAGCACAAAAAAATTAAGGGTATGTGTGTATGTGTGTGTGTATAACACACACACACGTGTGTGTCTGTATGTGTGTGTGTATAACACACACACACACATACACACAGTGGTACTAATATGTGAAAAAAAGTTAGAAATAGTATACGAGTATATTATTTGAATCAACTCATTCATGAATAGCTAATCTTGGGAGTATGGGTATCCATATTTTTCACTTTACCTACTTTTAATGAGTTGAATAATTTTATTTCAGTAGATTTTTATTTCACAGATTTCAAACAGAAACATTGTTATAAAGCTTCGGGCGTAAGTAGAAGTAACTTCTCTGCATAATTTTTTTTTCGCTTCTGAAACGTGAAAGGAATGATCTTAATGTCTCGTATTGTGTATATGAGAAAAAACGATGATGAAAAAAATTGGTTCGAGACACGTATAGTGCCAATTTCCATTCCAGCTCCAATAATACTTTATTAACTGAAGAAACTTGAGAGAAGTATCTGTTGATGTATCTTGAAGAAAATATGAGTCATGTTCTAAACAAGTTATGAAGGATGAAAAAATGCTGGATCATAGAATGAATAAATGAAAAACAGAATGTGCAAACAAGAAAACGATGATGAAAAAAATTGGTTCGAGACACGTATAGTGCAGCTGTCCGAAACTACTAGGTTCAGTAGAATTTTCATCGCTAATAGAAAAACCCAGACGACACAATGATGGTGAAAAACGCATTCCAGATGAATTAGACATACCTCAGTCTCCACGTTTTCAATTGATTCAGGTATACAATAAACGGTATAGATAAATCCGATTGCATTGCACACCGCAGCTGTAACGAATACAGTCTCATAGTTGGTTACATAAAATAAAGCTGATCCAGCTAAGTTTCCGGTCACATTTCCGAATGCCATGAAAACTTCAAAGATTGTCATCCTAAAAAAGAATACAAGAAAAGTGTGAAACCCGGTATAGGAGACTAAAATTCAACTTCTAAATTATTTCGGTAAAAAATATCCTCCTTCACTCTACAGAGCTTCCGACAATATTTATGGTCTTTATCACGCCCACAATATAAAAAGTGTGTGGTCAGATAACTAATGCCTTATACAGTGCATTTCTTTCATGCCCCCCCCCCTTTTATTTTTTGAACATGTCAACTAAAAAAATCGAAATTTGGGATAATGAAATTGAAGCATGAATACTTTATTTTGAAGTCAAATTGACAGATGAAACTTTCGAAATGGCGACTGGGCGCCATCTGGGAAAAAATTAAATGGAAAGGGGGGTCTTGTGACACACCTTTTTAAAGCTCCTGACAAATGCTTCACAACCCTAGAATATAATGTCAATATCTTCAACTACTACAAAATGGCGAAACTTTTAGTAATTGCGTGAATACATTGACATTTAACTACATAATATGAGGTAATAAGCTTGAGGTCTATTTTGAAGATACTCGAAATGGTTGCCTTAAACTTCTTGACATATGAACAGCCTAACCGATATTTCACGATGAACATTTTCGAACACAGTAAGGTCAATATCTCTACAAATACTTATTATTCTCAATGCTTTGGAGGAAAGTGACGGAAACTGTCTCCTTGCATCTAGGATTCACAAAGAGAAAAGAGAAGTTCCCCGAAAGAAGACAACCATATGGAAGGGCATTTCAGGCTCTAAAAATAAGATTTGAAAGAACTGGTAATGTCAATCACGAGAAGTTCGAATGTTTCTGTCCTGTAACAAATGAAGAGAATGCATTTCAAATTGCTCTTCACCTTGTTGAAAATCCCCTGTGAGTATCCGAGACCTGAGCAGAAAATTAGGATTTTCTCAAACCAGCGTGTCTCGAATGAAAGAGGAAGGATGGGGCTTAGAAAGATCAATCAGAAAAATGATTTTTTCGATTTCGTGTTATTTTATGATGAAGCGACTTTTCATAAAAATGGAACTGTGAATCGGCATGTATAGTTATGCGACGGAAAACCCCCATTTTGTTCGTTGCCTGAACCATCAACAGCATTGGTCACTGAATGTTTGGGGTGAAATTCTAGGAAAAAGAGTTATCGGTCTGTATTTTTTTGGTGGGCATCTCACTGGAAGAAAATATGTGAAATTTCTTTGGCATGCGTTATCGAATTTATTGGATGGGGTTCCACATGAAACAAGACTTAGGATGTGACTACAACAAGACGGAGCACCACCACATTTTGGAACTGAAGTACGGGAATACCTCAAAGATCATTTCAATCAAAAATGTATAGGTAGGGGTGGGTCTATTTCGTGGCCACCCAGATCCCCTGACCTGACTAAAATGGATTTTTTATGGGGGTATATCGAATGGATTGTCTACCAAACTCCTCCAACATCTATAGAAGGCATGAAACGATGAATCACTAGAGCTTTCAGGAAAATCACGGAGGATATGCTGGAACGTGTAGAGAATTCTCTAAAAAAACTGACATTATGCGTTGCAGAAAATGGTCGCCATATTGAACATCTTTTGTAGTCTTCTATTCAAAAAACATTAGGTGTTATTCTTCATATTGAAAAAATTTTGAGTAAGTGAAAGTAAATGAATGATTTTTTTGTGGTCACTGTGAATGAAACGAATGCTAGGCAAATACTGCTTTATTTTACTTCTTCTAGAACATTCAAAGTACATTCATTTCGAATAAATATACCGGGTGATCCTCTACATCTTCCCCTTTTTCAAAATTATACATCAATAATAATATACAACAAATCAACATATACTATTGTGAAACTAAAACTAAACCAAAAGATGTGGCCAACACTGAGTAGGGATATAAATCACTTCATAGGTAATTGTTCTACTGGAAAGAACCATTATGTCCACATGAAGTATCATCACAGCCATGGGAAAAATTAGGGTGGAATTTTTTTTGAACTGGACAACAAGCAATATTTGATTGTCATAGACTATTTTTCAAAATACGTAGAATTGATTTGCCTAAACACAAATCAACTGCTGTAAATGTAATAATGCATTTGAAGAGCGTTTTTGCTCGTCATGGCATACCAAAAAACAATATTTTCTGATAATGGTCCACAATTTTCCTTGAATTATCCAAGTCATTTGCTAAGACGTGGGAATTTGACCACCAAACTTCTTCACCATTATTTCCACAAAGTAATGGTATGGTAGAACGCGCTGTGCAAACTTTTAAAAAACATTCTTAGGAAAAGTAGGGATGATCAAAAAGATACGTATTTGGCCCTGTTACAGTATAGAAATACTCCAGTTCCAAATGAAATTGGTTCACCAGCACAACTTTTAATGTCGAGAAGATTAAGAGGAATAATTCCTATGGAAGATAGTATGTTGAAACCAAGTTTGAAAAACATAGAACAAACTAGAAAAAAATTAAATAACCGTCAGGAAGTACAAACGTACTAATTATAATAAACAACCCAAAAAAGTTTACCAGAGTTAAAAAAGGATACAAACATAATGGTTCAGGGTACTAATTCTAGATGGCAACCGGGAGAAGTTATAGATAAGGTTAGACATAGGTCATATAAAGTTAGGTTGGGTAATGGATCAATTATAGAAAGAAACAGGAGGTTTCTAGCTATCATTCCAGAAGAAAAAACAAATGATAATTCTGTAGTTAACGAACCAAAAGTTTTGGAAGGTAGCAATGATGATGTTATATTTGTAGAAAATCAGAGTAGAAGCGGTAGAATAATAAAACCAGTTCATAGATATAACCTCATGATGTATTAAAAAATGTAAATAAAGGAAGGTGTTTTAGTATTTTGTGTTAGGCAAAAGTAAAATCAGTTGGTTTAGTTTTAGTTTCACAATAGTATAAGTATGTTAATTTGTTGTAAATTATTATTGGTGTATAATTTTGTAAAAGGGCAAGATGTAGAGGATCACCCGGTATATTTATTTGAAATGAATGTACTTTAGTTTTACCGAGCACTCTATATATTAAATTGATTTTCATTTCATCACGAATGACGTATTCATATACTGGGTGTTCCATTTAAGAAAACATAACTACAGTTGGCCACGCTCGGCTGAATCACCCAGTGTGCGAGAAAATAATTTTAATAGTATTTATCGATATGACTGAAAAAACATTGAGCAATTCGAAGAATTGTTTTCCCTGATAGCAATTGACCGAGGGAATCTTGTTGACTCACCCTGTATAGTAACTACATAAAAACATAATAATCATGAAAATCGTAACAATCAATAACTATCAATCTCTTCAGAATTTACGATTATCTTATCAAATCATCATGTTTTCACTTCTTTCAAACTTAGGCCGTGTAGGTGGAGTAGATATCTTCAGGGTTGTGATAGCTGACAAAATATCGTTTGCCTAGAAAACCTAACCCGTTATATAAAGTATTGAACTCTACACCAGTAGATAACCCGAGTTTTGATTAAAACTTGTTTGGTCGCATGTTTACAGTTAATGAAATTCAATAAGAGTTATGTCATTGCCAATTTCATTGATTTTTTTTTCAAGAAAAAATGACATTACTCAAGAATACAAAAGGTGAGGACATGTTTACTCTTTGTGGAACATGATCAAAAATTATATAAATTTGGGTGTAAACGGGTGTAATAAACTGAATAACCTTGAATTAAGAAAACGGAAAGAAGTAATACAGAAAAGAAACTCACCTCATTCCTCTGGTCTCTTGGGCTGAAGTTTCTGAAAGGTGCGATAGAGCTACCGTCAAAAACGCGGGTAATCCACCTGTTAGCACTGATGGAATTGCAGCGATTAAGAAATACCAAGGGCTTACAGTTGGGATTGCACTAAATAAAGCCGTAATAAGTAAACTGCATATGCTTCCTAAAAGACAAGTATGAAATGACGTGTTTAGGCAAACACTTCAAAAACGAACAAAAAATTTTGTTTAGATGATATTCCATCAAATATCGGAGCAATATAATCCTACTTCAGTTAATCTGTTTGGGAAGATTTCAAAAAATAATGTTTGAAAGGTAATATTTTGCCTGTTCAGCTATATCACAAAATTCTGAAAATATTAGAAAAATGTACCCTGAGAAAATATATTTTTATGAAAAAAAAATCAAATTCAGAATAAATCTTCAAAATTTCTAAATTGTGCGTGCTAAAGATGAAAGATTTTTCAACGTGTCATTTCTAGCAAGGTCTAAGATATTGTATTGAGAACCGGTCACTGATCGAAATAATACAGTCCAGATGGTCCAGTCATCTTAGTCAAAATTAGGGTAAGTATCTTGCTATAAACTCGTATAAACTTGAATTTTGACTTCCCAAAAGTTGTCTCAAAACCTTCATACAGTGCATTTCTTAATTTCCCCCCATTTTATTTTTTAAACTGGTCACCTCAAAAAATTTAAATTTGGGAGAATGAAATTAATGCATGAATACTTTATTTTGAAGGGAAATTGACAGATGATCTTTCAAGATGGCGACTGGGCGCCATCTGGGGAAAAAATTAAATGGAAAGGGGGTCTTGTGACACATCTTTTTGAAGCTCTTGACAAATGCTTCTCAACCCTGGAATATAATGTCAATATCTTCAACTACTAGAAAATGGCGGAACTTTAAATAATTGCCTGAATACATTGACATTTAACTACATAATATAAGGTAATACGCTTGAAGTCAGTTCAAAAGATGCTCGAAATGGTTGCCTTGAACTTCTTGACATATGAACAGCTATCCAGTATTTCACGCCGAACATTTTCAAACACGGTAATGACAATATTTCTACAAATATGTATTATTCTCTGCCATATATCCAATATTGAAGCAGGTCCTGTTTCGTAAACCTTTTGCTTTTTATATCCCCAAAGAAAAAGTCCAAAGGTGTCAAATCTCGCGAGCAGGCTGGCCAGTCTGTAGGACCTCGACGGCCAATCCAACGACCAGGAAAAGTAGTATCGAAGTAGTTTCTTAATTGTCTGGAGTAATGTGGTGGTGCTCCATTTTGTTGGAATACAATATCCATATCGAATTCATTAGGATTCGCTTCGACGATTTCAGTGATGAGAGGGTCAACAGTAGAGGGTCAAATACAGTTTTCCTGGTAAAATCTGATCAATAAATAGAGGCCCTACAATATTCCTACAATATTCCGGAAAACGTGAGGGTTGGTGTCATTCCAATAACGGCAATTTTGTCTGTGAACATTGTCGTTTAATAAAAAATGGACATTCGTCAGTAAAACAAATAATATGGAGATAGGTAGGATACCTTGCAATGGTTTCCGTCATGATTTCGCAGAATTCTGTTCTTCGATCAGGATCATCTTCAGTCAATTGGTGTACCATTTTAATTTTGTATGGATGATACCTATTCCTCTTCAAAAGTCTCCTCACAGTAGAAGGAGACACCTCACAAACATTCGCGACGGAATAAGTAGACTGTTCAGGATTTACTACCATTTCACCAATTATTTGCACTTGCTGTTCTTCCGGAATGGACGAATGACCTGGGGACTTTTTGTCATGTACACTATCGGTAGTTGTGAATTTGGAGTTCCCTCAATTATTTTCCACAGATAGGACGAATCGAAAAACGTTCATTGAAAATCCTTTCGGTCTCGTGAAAGTTACGTGTCGCACCGTAAATGAAAATAGCTTCAATTTTTCCTTCCAATGGACGAGAATTGACCATTTTAGAGATTGTTGTCGTGGTATCTTTCTACTAGTAAAACCGAAAACTAAATGAGAATATTCCAATTGAACAATGATGTTCATTGTCGTATTGACATTTTTTGCGGTTTTTATGAACTCAACCAACCTTATTATTTCTAGAAATATCGATATTAATGTGTTTGTCTTCAGGAAATTATTAAATGTTCCGTTATTTTGTAGTAGGTGAAGATATTGGCTTCATATTCTAGGGTTGTGAAGAATTCGTCAGGAGCTTCAAAGTGATGTGTCACAAGGCCCCCCTTTCCATTTAATTTTTTTCCCAGATGGCGCCCAGTCGCAATCTTGAAAGTTTCATCTGTCAATTTCACTTCAAAATAAAGTATTTCATGCATTAATTTCATTATCCCAAATTTCAATTCTTTGAGTTGACCCGTTCAAAACATAAAAGGGGGGGACAGTAAAGAAATGCACTGTATAGTAAGGTTTACGCCACTATTAAAATCTTAGGTGAAAGGTCACAAAAATCGATCATTTGTAAATTTTCTGCAAATATCTCGTTTCCTATGGGTTTTTCGCTATTTGTATTCGAAATCAAAATCGTAGAGGATTACATTCTCTATTCCTTTTGTTTCAAAAACATTTTTATACATTAAATCGTTATCGAGATAGAGAGCGGAGAGCGCGCGGTTAGAGTATCATTTAAGGTCAAGCGGTAGTCTCAGTCAAAAACACGCTATAAGTTCATTAATTATTGATAAATACATAAATGATAATAATTTTCAATTCTCACCACTGTATTTATTTATTTTTTCATTAATTGAATATCTATCTATTTAATGAATCTCATATTCCTAAAATCAAAAACTAAGGGACAAACTTCAATTACAATTTGATTACATCCTCATTTCCACTTATTACATTTTGAATGGAAAATTATCAAGTACATCTCCTTTATCTGCAAATTAGGACCCCTATTATATAATACCAACCTTTCTATTTATAGCCAGTAGGAACATATGTTTAATTGTATTGTCCGCTTCAAATATTGTTTGAGAATGGAATTCAAATCTGGTTGGCAGACTTTAATACTCCAAAATCTGTAGACAGTATCGATTATCTTCATTATGCACAGTACGTCAAGTCTACAAAACTAAATAAAAAATAAACCTGTATTATCAAATATTCCACCAAGTGCACCAGCTCACCGACATTTCACTTTTGTTTATTAACAAGTTCAAACTTGGTTAGGGCATAATTTGGAACCTCAGGAATGGGGCTGGACAATGCGTAACGAATTCCTGAAATCCATCATTTTCAGGACAATTATAGCGGCAATGATCTTCGAACGACCATAACATCGAATGCATGAGGTGGTGTGCATAGGCTTATGCAGGAGGCCTTCTTGGCCCTCTTGACCCTCGTGGCCCTCTTTCAGTGGGGCCACGAAGGGACGTCTTTAACGAATAGAGAACCCTTTACACTTCACCCTTCAGGTGTCGAACATACAATGTAGATGTGATATTTAACTTTCAATGGAGGAAGTTTTCATTTTTGAGTTTGGAACCTATCATAACCATTTTAGCACCTGCTCCAGAGGAATTGCTTAACAGAATATTATGCAACTGGAAGAGTTGTTGTGGTTCGCGATGTGTATGCAGGAGATCGGGATTGCAGTGCTCTTTAGCTTGTGGTCAGTGTAACGGGTAAGCGTTTCTCATTACTCTCATTACATTACCATATCAGAGCGATGTCAATAAAGACAGAACCTTTGACCCCGAAATCATGGAAGACCTGGAGACAAATGCCGTTGAAGACGATAAAAAGTTGCTACTGCTTTCTAATATAAGCGGCAACACCGCATTGCCGAAAATATTTTAGTTGGCTAGAGAATGTCCGAATATGCCCTCTATTAAATTTTCAAAGTGATCCGTTGTCTGTTGTCTGGTTCACCAGAAACGTCTAATGTGCCATCCACCGTGAATCAGCCTGTATAACTACATGGGTAGGTAATAGTTATTGAATAAAATAAAAATTGATGATAATTATGAATTTATCAATAATTTGACCTTATATTTTAATAGTCGCGTACACCCTACCATATATAGGTTTTCAGACAACTTTTAGGAAGTAAAAATACAAGTATATACGAGTTTATATCTGCGTTTCTCAAATTCCGAGGGGGATTCACTAAGATGACTAGACTAAAACGTTAGGCATTAAGAATTTGCAAACCACGATAAATAAATCAAGAAAATAGTTTTGGATGGATACCAAAGTGAAACCAGTATGAAAACAAAATTACTCTAAGGCTCTACGCCTGAAAAAATAAATCCATTTTTAATTCAATGATGAAATCTACTTAGAATGTTGATTTCTACAGTTGTCTTTGGATGACGAGGAATATGTGGTTTTTTGAATAGAATAACTAGTCGATCAATTTTATGAAAAAAATGTGTTTTGTCAGTTTTGTCATTTATCAAACAAGAACTTCATGAACTTTAGAACTTTGAATGTCTACTCTCAAAGAGAACATTGTAATATCGAATATATACCTTATTAATAATCCTCACCTAATTGATATAGAAGCAAGATAGGTTTCCTTCCAAATTTATCAGACCACGGTCCCAGACATATACAGAGTAGAACCATAGGAACAGACACTACGGTTGATTGTACAGTACGTACGGTTTGAGCTGTTGGTTCGACAAGTTTCTCTAATGCCTGTGTGATATTGTCGTTCGTGTTTCCCAACAAAGAACAGTTCGATTCTGCATATCCCAATAAAATGTAACAGGTACGGTATATCAGAAGATTTGACGAAAGCGAGCCTAAAAATTAAATATTAGCTATTAGATTTAGAATGTTACAAGGTCTCTCTTTATCTTGAAATGGAACAATAAATGAAACTGATGCTATGATAGGGCTGTATCCCTTTACATTCACGTCCAGAGGAAAGGAGATAGGGATGATTCGCCTAGGGTAGATGACCGTAGTAACAACAAATGCTTTTAGTGGACCATCGAACTAAGAAATCTGTTTAAAATCTGTTTTTCCGTTAATCAGCTGTCGCCCCCATACGAACGACAACTCTCAGAAGTTGAGAAACTTGTGCGAGCTAAGGACTAACGAGGTCTTACCTTTTAACGTGTGATTCCTAATACGGCTAAATAGCCTAATATATTGTTTCGAATAAAGGAAGCCTATGCAAAGTGATAACATGGCAAGCATTATATGTTCTGTGGTGTGAAGTATCTTCCGAGCACGGCGATCTTCCGTCGGAAACCTGAGGGACTAAGTATTTTATATTCATCAGGTGTTACAACAGCTGCTAAAGAAATTGTCAAATTTTGGCATATCATCTAATATTCAGATGCTCCTGAAATCATATTTATGTGACCGACGCAGTTATGTTGAATGTGATGCTATAAAATTCTCCTGCTTTCTAGAGAATTCCAATGTCCCAAAAGGGTCTAATCTTGAACTGTTAATATTCATACTATTTATAAATGACATTGCCCATGATATCACTTTTCATTAATTGCTATTTGCAGATGACATGAAAATATATCGTGAAATCCAAGATGAAGCAGACTGTTTCACATCGCAGGAAATAAATTCTTTGACTGATTGGTGTATTCGTAATAAATTGTACTTGAACACAAATAAATGTAAAATAAATGACATTCACACGTAAAATACCACCGGTAATATTCAAATATGTACTAGATGTTGAATCCGCGAATCACGGAATCAAACGAGCTGGAGGTTTTGTTTGATCAAAAACTCACGTTTTCCAATCATTTTCAGAATGTAATATCAACTTCAATGAGAAGTCTGGGTTTCTTGATACGCAACTGCAAGGAATTTAAGCCCTTTCATTCTTTGAAAACACTGATCAGGAGTAAATTAAAGTACTGCAGTGTCATTTGGAATCCGTCCCACATGAAACATATATCTAGTTTAGAAAACGATCAAAACTTTTTTTTAAATATGCATATTTCAAACAACATGGTGCTTATCGCAAGAGGGGTTATGGCTATGACTTATTGTTGGACGAGTTCCAAATGATATCTCTAAAAAAAGTCAGGCAAAGCAGAGATATGTGTTTTGCATATAAAATAATACATGGACAGATAGATTGATCGCCTCTATTGTCTCAAATGCTATTCAGTGTACCGTGTATTTCATTTATATTCTGTAGCACATTTCATATTCCGGTTTCCAATACACTGCATCATTTTCATTCTCCCATAACTACTAAATCTAGAAGTGTTAATAATGTTCCTAGTGTAGATATATTTTTTCTAACGATCAACCAATTCAAAAAAGAGATTCTTCGTTCAATTCAAAATTGATCTTACTATATGTATAATTATCATATTTCTAATTGTATACACCAGTAAATGGGCTTTTGCGTCTGCTGAATGTATTGAATATATACATGAATAAATAAGTGGTAAAAGTGGCAGAAGTGGTAAAAGTGACAGAAAAAGCCACCTAGTGCCCATTGGTGCACAAAAGTCTTGCATCATATACACAGTGGAAACACTGGAGAAAGAAGATCTGCATAAGTGAGTGTTTCTTGCTGGACTGGATATCGAATCCTATTTCTAGTTCAGGATCTGCTCAAGTGGTCAATAAACTTGGCTTGGTTGCTTGATTGTCACTCTCTTGAAATTTGTTCAGCAATTATCCCACACTCCAGCTGTTACATTGAAGACCTCGGCTCATCCAAAAACCTTTCCTTTACTGTTCTCAGGTCAACTGGGTTAAAGTCGGAGACCAAAAGATTCAACGTGACACATCGAGTTAACTTTAATATATCATAGTAGCGTGATAGATATAGACGTTATTGACATCATATGTCGGACGTTACGAATGCTGTAACTCGTAGGTATTCACGTCTTGTTACGATTACAGTAGTTTCTGATGGGACTAGTCTCGAACCATAACTAAGATTATACCGTATGCCCCCAAATGAATAAAACATTTTCTGATAAATGCAGAAGGCTGCCATTCTTGGTTGATGGAACATATATCTCGAACACAACAATCAGTTATCCCACTTTATGACGAGTGCTTAGTGGTCAATATTGGTGGCACGTCCTCCAGATATGTAATTTAATGGTAGAAATAAAGTGTAAAGTGGTAATGAATAAACTGAATTGACCTTAAAAAATATTTGAGACTAAATGTCTGAAACCTTTAGTGTTTGGATGAGCAAGCATGAAACACGATCTCCATATGAACAATAAATAGTAAAATACAATTAAATATTGAAAATCACTTATAATCTACATAGTTGGCGGATAATTCTCGAAACTGTCAGACTGAAATAGCAACCAACGATTCATGACTACCACTTTTGCGGATAAAATTATCAAGTGGCTGACCAAACTCTCTAGATTTCACAATCTAGTTCAAGTATGGTTAGTTCTTACGCTTCAAGTGTTCCCACCCCAAAAATGATAGAATATTCGAAGCATCCATTGAGTTTCAAGAGGTGAAAAATATACTCAGCTCACATAAATTTTCATGGAACAGAATTTATTTCAGTTCAACCTTAATTTGGCAATTTTCGTGATTCACCCTAGCACCTCTGAAGGGACCTATGGTAGGTCGAAACACCGCTGACTGGTGTTGAACCACAAATTCTTTGCTTTTGGGCTCTGCTTTTTTCTAGCTGTCTGCTTGATGTCAGAGCTGTAGAGAAAAACAGAAAGCGATTTTTCATTCTGCGTTCGATGTCAGAGCTTGGATGGCAATAAACGCCGCACCGTGAGGACCCACGGCAAGGTTCGAGTTTTATGTCGATTCCATGCATGGTATCTTCGAGGGGAAGATGTCTATACTAGGTTTGACATATTCATGGGCGCCTAGATTGATTTGGCTTTTTTTAAACAATGTAACGGAAGAAAGGATTAGCGGTATTCAGAGATATATGAACAGAACACTTCGCTATCGGTGTCACCAAGCAGAAAGACAGTCGAGTGACATCTTCAATTCAATTGTTCGCGGTGTTAACGTGAAAACAATGGAGTTTGTTATTATCGCTAAAATCCAAAATTTTATGTCTGAATTATAAACGATAAAAATGTTCTCTTTCAGTGTGTTTCATAAGGGTGTCAAAACTATTTAACCGAGTTCGATGGATGGATGTATCTCTGGTTTTATTCCATTGTTGCAAACGCACTCAAAGGAAGCACTCACATTATATTGTTGAAAATAACAAATACTTGACAAATCTCACAATTTTTAACAAGAGTATAAAGGGAGGCGATGGAAATTTAGAAAAATACAGAAAATGTCAATCGAATGGAAGGGGGAATCAGAAAAATATGGTTGTTTGTTCTGAACTACACACAAATCAGACAATTCAGTATCTCATGTGAGGACAGCTACAGCACTTCGTCCGTTGCTTCTTTGACTATGATAAAGTTTACCGCAGTAGTAGACAAAACGGCAGGTATGACCACGGCCAACAAACCCGAAAATAATTTTGTCACAGTTATCTCGTGTTGTGAAAGTTTACACTTTTTGTTTAATTATTGCTACGAATATTTGATCACTTGATTCATTTTTTGAACGGGTCAACTCAAAAAAATTGAAATTTGGGATAATGAAATTAATGCATGAATACTTTATTTTGAAGTGATGAAACTTTTAAGATGGCGACTGAGCGCCATTTTGAAGCTCCTGACGAATACTTCACAACCTTAGAGTATAAAGTCAATATCTTCACCTACTACAAAATGGCGGAACATTTAATAATTTCCTGAATTCAAAGACAACAATATCGATATTTCTAGAAATATTCCTTTTTATCTGTCATATGGCAATTCCAACAACTCGATATGGTTTGTTAAAATATTTTTTGTTAATGAAAACGAAAAAAAATCAGTACGACAATGAACATCATTGTTCAGTTAGAATATTCTCATTTAGTTTTCGGTTATACAAGTAGAAAGGTACCACGTCAACAATCTCTAAAATGGTCAATTCTCGTCTACTGGAAAAAAAATTGAAGCGATTTTTATTTACGGTGCGACGCGTTACTTTCACGAGACCGAAAGGATTTTCAATGATCGTTTTCCGAATCGTCCTATTTGTAGAAAAGATTTGAGGAAACTTGTATTCAAATTCACAACTACCGGTAGAGTACGGCAATGTTCACAGACAAAATTGCCGTTATTGGAGTGACACCAATCCACACGTTTCCCGGGAAACACATACCCAATATATCACTTTGGAAGAATTGTTCGAAAATTTTTGAAAAATCTAGTTTTTATAACTTGTATCTCGAAAAAAATCTTCTTTTCTAAAACGCACCAAATGTTCTTCGTATGATAATAGATATAGTTTATATTCCACAATTATTTTGATGATTTCCAGATTATAAGATGTATCGTAACTTCCAGTCTCAATACCTACTATAAAATACTTTCGAGTTATTTTATTTTTGAGATTGACAATACTTCCATTTCTGTTAGTGTAGTAATGTGCAAACGTGAATATCAATGTATCGTTTTTAAAGTTAGAATAAGATTAGATATATGAATTATTCTGCTTTTAACATATGAAAAAATTCTTTTGCAAAGCCCTGATTGTCGTACAATAAAATTATTCCTTTCCTCTGAGAAACTCAATTGAAGCATTCAATATAATAACGATAAATTATTTAAAAATGCAATTCAATCGATGTCTACAAGTATTTTTCATATTTTCTACACTCTTTACACTTGGTTAATTCACCAAATATATTTCTCATTTCTGTAAACTTATTTAAGAAAGCTATCAAGAAATTGAGACAGCAAAAGACAGTGTGTTCTAATTTTATTCATTTTCAGTTACAGTAAAAGAATTCCTTGTCATCACGACACTTGGTGTGATACATAATATCTGCTATGTAGCTTTTCTTTAATAAGTAGGTATGTGCATAATTTTGAGTTATCTTTATAATGTTTCTTTTTCTAAATTTATTCTAAAGTTATCTTTATAATGTTTCTTTTTCTAAATTTATGCATTTCATATAATTAGCCACTTTCATTTGTAACTAACATTGCTGCAGTTTCGTCCTATAAGGACATTTTCAAACTTATACATTAAATGTATAAGTGGTAAAAAACATGAAAAGTTTATCTTGTCTTCATTTTTATTTCATTACGACTTTACAACAGAATACTAACAGCAAAATAACGTCACTCAACCCTATGGTTCAATTTCTCAACAAGTGCTTCTACTGAAACTGATATTTCTACCATCCATAACGCTACTAATTCCGATGCTAATTTGTTCATTATGCTGGTGATCATATAATTTATCAGACCAATATAAGTATAGGGTCTTCCAACATGGATTTCCGA